GCCCAGCCCCGGGGGGGACCCGCCCCCCCGCCGAGGGGGTGCCCCCAACGCGCAACCCCATCCTGTGCCGCCGCGAAGAGAGGGGGGGACCCGCCGCGGCCCCGGCCGCCCCCGGGGGAGCGGGAAGGAGGGGTTGCTCGTCTCCATGGGGCTGCCCATGGGGTGGCGTGCGGGGAGCCCGGGAGGAGGAGGAGGAGGTGGAAGACGAGTGGGTGCTGCCCATATACTCACTAAACGGAGCAAACCCGGTAAGGAGAGACTCACTTGAGGGAAAGCCGCGGATCACCGTACGGGGCGTAAGGTGAAATGTTTAGTATAAACTCCTTGGGAGGGTAGGAGCTCCATTTCTGCTGCACTGTGTTGTCATTGTTATTCCAAAAGTCTCTGTCTAGATCGCTACAGCGGCCGGAGACCGGGGAGAAAGAAAAGGGAAATACAAGAGAGAGAAGCTGAATTCCTGCGAGAGGGGAGGAAAAGCAGCCCTCCGCCACCGGAGCGCTGGGATCCTGCGGAGAGAGACGGGGCGCGCGGCTGCCCACCCCTCGGACACCGACACACACACACACACACACGGACACGGACAGACGGATGGATGGACGGAGCAGGGCAGAGCTGCGGAGAGACAGGAGCGGGCGGCTCCACCGGCTGGGAAGGAGAGAAGGATGGAGCGGGGTTAGAGAGGTGCCGGAGAGTGTGGTGCTGGCGCAGCGTCCCCGGCACGCGTGTCTGTACGTCCCCGGCATGCTTGTCTGTGTGTCCTTGCCTCCTCAGCAGCCAGGTCCTGGAAGCGCACGCTGCTTTGTCAACCGTGATGCTGCTGTGCGTCGCAGACCCCTCCAGGTCCCCTCCAGCTGAACCAGCCCACTGCTGGCATGGAGCCTGAACCTCCCGGCTCCGGCAAGCCACCCGCAGCACCCGCCACCCGGCCCGAGCTGCGTGCCGGAGGCTATGGAGCTGAGCAGTTCCCCGCTGGTACTGGGGGACTTCAAAAGCCACCGGTGCCCAGCCCTCACGCCCCTCATCGATGCCCACCTGCAGCTCTGGGTTGAGCCTGGCCACGTGGACCCTGCCAGAGCCGGGGAGGGCGAGCTGTGTGTGCCACGCCGTCAGGAGGGGACGTGCCTCCTGCTCCGGTCCCAGCTGGGCATGGCCAGCCCTGGGAGCAGCTGGCCAGGCTGTGCCCAAGCAGAGGGGTGCCTGAGGTAACCCCAGATGCCTGCACCCCAATATCACCCTGGGCAGGAGGCCAGGCCAGCCAAGGGAGGAGGTTTGGAATAGCCTTACTCCAGGCAGGGGCTATTTCCCTCCTGGTGCTCCAGCCCCGGCTCCTCCCAAGAGCCCTGCAGGGTGCCAAGGGGTGCGGGGGGCAGAGCTGGGGCGGGGGTGCCCCGGAGAGCCCCTCCGGCTGCCAACCCCCCGCCTCACTCCCTACCCATCGCCGTGAGATGCCCCAGCTCCCTCCTTTTCCCACTGCCCGTGGGCTGCAGAGCCGTGGCAGCCACGCACACAGCGGGGCCGGGGAGGGCTCCATCAGCGGGGCAGGGCTCAGGCTCTGCGTGCCCAGAGCCAGGGCATCCCCGGGGACACCAGTGCTGAGGTCCCCATGGCTCCATCTGGTCATGCCTGCAGCTCAGTGGGTGAGCCAGGAGGGGTACCCGAAGGTGCTGGAAAGACCCACCAGTTCTCCCAGTCTCCCGGAGCCCCTCTCCCACTGGGGCTGGGGGACCAGGGGACGCCTCCGCCCTGACTGGGGGGACCATCCCATCCTGCAGGCAGCTGCAGGAGGAGCAGGGATGGGCAATGCTTTGGCATCACCCATCGCTCCGTCTCCCCACCAGCCCTCGCTGCTGCCGGGACAGAGCCGGGCCAGCAGCCGCTGCCAAACTCGCTCTGCCAGGGCTGGGCTGGGCACGGACCCTCCTCACTGGGAGCAGAGGGACGGCCACCTCTGTCCCCAAGGAGGGACCTCCCTGCTGCTGGCGGGGATGGCACCGATCCAGCACGTGTCCCCATGCTGGCAGGGCACCCACGACCGGGGGATGGCGTGTGGCAGAGGGCAGGGTGCTGAGCAGGCTGCGGCTGGGCCAGACCCGTGGGCAGAGGGGCTCCCGGTGCTGCAGCCCCCTGCCCCTCTCCCCCCCTACCCTGGCACCTACTTGATGGTTTTCTTTTCACTGCGGCCTCGGCTGGAGTCCGGAGTTCCCACGGTCTCCAGGGAAGTCTTGTAACGCTTACCCTGCGGAGAGGAGAGGAGAGGGGGGGTCAGGGGGAGGCAGGGAGACCCCCACCGCCCCGCAGAGCATTGCAGCAGAGGATGGGGATGGGAGCTTGGGTTTGACCTGGATTTTGCCCTTTTCCCTTACAGCCTCCCGGTTGCCAGGCTCCGTCCCACTGAGCCGGGCAGCAAAACTCCCAATAGCTTCATCCCTTGGCCCTTACGAGCCAGCAAAGGCATGGGGGAGACGCTGGCCTGGCCACCTTGGCTCCCGGGCACCGTCCCCAAGGGACTGGAGGGGGCTCATGCCTGGCATCGCCCCAAGGATAGAGCAGCAGCCGCCGCCTGTGTACCCTTCCACAGCCTCACCAGGGGAGGAGCGGGTAATTTTAGGATTAATTGAAGCTGAATTAATTGAGTTCACCTTCCCCACCGAAAGGGAAGAGCTGCCATATGATAATGAAGCAAGCGCTCGCTCCTAACTGGGGCTTGTAATCAGGGCACTTGACTGTGATTTCCGACAGCAGGTTCAGCGTGCTGCTCCAATGCAGGGCGGACAAGAGCGCAATTAATGCCAATTAGCGAACAATTAGGAGTGGAGGCTGCTCTGCGCAGGTGCGGGGAGGCCAAGGTGGGATGGGAGCAGCTGCCGGAGCAGGCTGGGGTTGCAGACCAGCCCTCCCACCATGGTGGCCTGGGACCTGCGAGCATCCCTCCTGCAGGAGCCAGCCCTGTGTGCAGTCTGCCCGTGAAACGGAGAGTATTTCTCCCTTCTCCTTCTCCCCAACCTCATCACCTCTGCACAGAGCCATCTCCTTGGCGGTGCTGCGGCAAAGGACTCCCTGCATTCACAGCACGGGTGTCCTTGGACAGCCACCGGCTCATCCTGCCAGGAGCTGCGAGGATGCTGGATCTCCTTGGCTGCCCACGGGCTAACCCTGCCGGAGGCACAGGGATGCCAAACTTTCTTGGATGTCCATGGGCTGTCCTGGAGGGAATCAGCCCTGAGCTCAGTGTTGTCCCCAGCTGACCATGGCACAGGGATCGTGGGGACACGGCGGCAGCGGCTGCTGGCCCACGCTCCCCCGGCACTAGCCGACCTGGGGACGCGTCTTTCCATTCCCAGCCTGAATGCCTTCCCGGCCAATTTATACTTAATTGTTCCTCTGCCAGCTTCGTCCTTCAGCACAACGGGCCCTTCTCCTCCCCGGTGCTGAACCCTCCGCCACCTCTCTCTCCAGCCTGCCCTTCCCTGGGGGGCACCAGCCGGCCTTGGACACCCCTTCCCACCCACCTCCCCTCCCCGCATGCCACGGCGGCTCCCTCTGTCCCCACGCTGCCTCATCCCCGGCTGGACCCCTTCTCGCCTTCCCGGGGGAGCGTTGCCTTCCCGCAGTTCGAGGGGAGCCGCCGGCATCGCCGGGGTGGGCATCTCCCCCGTGGGAAGAGCCGCCGCCATTGTAGCACTTGACCCAGATTTGAATCTGATGGTGAAGGAAATGCGGCCGAGCGCACGGCTGGATCCTGGTGCCGGGCTGCTCCGGGAAGAGGAGGAGGAGGAAGGACGCAGGGCAGGAGGGAGCGCTGTCCCAAGCCAAAGGCTCTCCCACTGCAGTGGGGGTCGGGGAGGGAAGCCAGGTGCCCGGGGGTGCTGGGGAGCTGGGGTGGGGGGCACAGCGGGCGGCGGTGCCAGCTCACGGCGCCCGGCGCT